CTCTATCCTTTACACAGCACACATCACAGAGCCCTCGTAGCGCACTATGCTTTGCTGTCCTAACTCTCCGCAGAACACACCAATACAACACCGACAACCTGCTCTTTATCCAAACTCAGCCTCTGTAGGGGATATCAGGGAAGCCCAAAAGACCTACTGTACCCCCGAACACTAATCTGCTCCCAAACATCCTTGCAATCAACAGACTTCCCCGTCGCACAGGTGAAGTATCCACGACCACAAGGTCAACTGTCCTCGAAACGAAAAGAGACGCGACGCGCCAGACAAGAGACGCTTGACGTCCCATCAGAGACCTTCAACGCCTCACTTCTTCAACCCAAACGTCTCCAATCAACGCGCCAAACACAACATGCAATCACACATCACTCTCCTCACACGACAATACCCCGGCTCAAAGGTGACCCCTCACACCAACCATGATGCGAGCTAACCTCCGTTCATCTACCTTGAGCAGCCTCCATACCGCTAAGTCCGCTGAGTGGTCGGGTGCAGCAAAACCCTCGTCTTGATAGCGTGTTTCCTACGCCTTTACAAAGATCTTCCTGTGCTTACGTTCTCAAAAGGCCAGAAATAACACATCTCGCCCTCGTTTCTCACCCCATCTCGTTCCACTAAATTTGAAAATCCTACGTATGGTTGCAGTCGATGAATTCCCTTCCCTGACAGTTACTGGCTGATTGGCAGCAGCTTCTCTCTCAAGTTTGAAGGTTCCATGGGTGATGAAGAATCCCTATGAAGGTACGAACACTTTCGCCCTTATTGTCGTAAAGGAGCATTGCACCGTCGGGCCGCCTACGCCATTGTTGCGGTGCGAAGGGAAGCAGTTGCATTTCCGATTCGTCAGCGGGGGTGCAGTGCTCCTCACATGCTCGATGGCAATGGATTCCTGACCAGTGTCTGCTGTAGAAAGGGGCTTCTAAATATATGTATATTGGTGGGCTCACACATCGGCAAAAGCAGGGCCACTTCTTGCTCTTTGTGCCAAAGTGTTCTCAATCAGCTTTCACAGTTGCCAAGTCTCATGCAGACGTCATTGTCATTTTATGCAGGCTTTACAAGGAAGCTACGGGTGGATCGAACTAAGCGTTTAAAGATATTCGGCTGCAGCTGCGTAGCTGATTGTCTTGCAGCAAGGCTGGAGTACCATTCTAAGGCTGACACGGAACCGTCTAACAACAAACTGTACCGAGCGAAGAAAACAAAGGTGGCCCTCAGCGAGCCAATGCATTCTTTTATATAACGATCACCAAACATTAAGCAGTGGTAGCGAAGCAGGTGGAGGCTAGAAAGTACCAGGCAGCGGTCACCGTCTCTTTTCCTACTTGCATCAGTTGAGCTACTGGTATGTTACATTAATAGCTATGTGATTGACATATTTGGCCCCAAGCCCGCTCGGCGATTATTTACACTGGCAGTAGCAGGATCCGTGAGTACATCATTTGTCGTGCTGTAGCCCACCCGGGTTCTGTGGGGAAACGCATGGAATCAACCAAAGCTTGAAGGTTCTTTGCTTGTTTTACATACCATTGTTGTTGTTCATCTTGATGCTGCAGGCGGTGATGCCGCAGATGGGGCTCCCGGCATGAGAAAACCGCGTTCGCATCACCTGCAGGAAGGGCATAAACAACCGGAATCTCAAGCCCCCCCGTCAACATTTTTCTTGTGCTGACCTTGGGCTTGTTAGTTCGGAAGCCTCAGCAGCTTGCCTTCTCGGCGTCTTCAGCAGCAGCAGCCGGTTTATATTCAGCAATTTTACTAGCGGGGGGTGGAAGCAGCTGCGGCAGGTGTGGCGGGATCCTCTTTTGACTGCTCCTGTACAGCTCTGAACGGTTCCTTGCATGACTGCCTTCAGCAGGATCTGCAGTAGCAGCCATGCGAAGAAGCAGCAGTTTCAACAGGATGATCCACTGGCCCTCCGGGGCAGAAGGAACACGGCCCCCATCCCAGGTGACCGTTTCCCGCATCGTAGTGCTGCGTCGTGCTGCTGCAGTGCTGCTGCAGTGCACACTGGTTGTTCCTGCTAGTGCTGCTGCAGCTTCTTCTGCGAATGCCTGGACTTTCCTCTGCTGGCGTGTCCTGTCTTGTTAGAGCTCCTTCACGTATGTTTGATGCATGACGCTTTTGTCTCCGACTGCTACTGGTTTTTTGAAAACGTCTTCGAGAACAAATTCTACTGTTGTGTGCCCTGAGCTATTTAAGTAACTCAGCTTGCAACAGGAGGAAGGCAGGTCTTCTCTGCAGTATCCGCGTCTCCTAGTAGGGAGAATGCTATTAATAGGGTGGATGGGTACCTTAGTGTGAGCGCTCAAGTGGGTGTGGGCAGCTATTTAAGGCTAGCATCTCGGCAAAACGCAGTTGGGTTTTGGGCTGGAGGCGTCTGCTGCTTAAGGGGAGCGGACACCCAGAGCACTTGCTCCACACCACTTCTATTTATCAGCCACCAGCAGGTAACATATACCACGGGCATTAGCCTCGATAGATGACGAAGAAGACACTTCCTGTGATGCATTTGCGCATTAACCTTACAATGAGCACATATTATGGGTCGTTGCGGCAATACAGCCTTGCACTCAAGGGCTCTGCATGGGGCGCTGTAAGTTGACAGTGGCCGAGGGGTGCGGACAGGTCCTTCTATGTGTTTCGCAAGTGTGACGAGATTTCTTCTTCATACATTTAGCTTTAAATACTCATTTAGCGCTGCTCCTTTAGGGTTGTGTTGTTGCTTCATGCAGAAAACAGTCGGCTGCAGGTGCTGCCGCTCCTCACGCGGCCCCACACTCTGGGGCCCTGCGAATGTAGTTTCGTCCCACGAGAACATGGCGCTTGTAGACTGTTTGTTTGCAGTTGATCGTTTAATTATTTTGTCTCAGGAACAGAATTTTTGTCTTGTTCTTCTCTCGTTATATCAGTCCTCCCGTGCAGTAGCTCCCCGCTTCCGGCGGTGCAACCCTAGAGGAGGCCCTGGGCCGTTTTGTTTGGAGGTCCTCCAGTCAACCACAAACAACAGTGGCATCAGCAGCAGCTCATTGGTATCCGATGCCGCCAAAGGGCCCCTCCCGTGGGGGCCCCCCGGGGTTGGAAGCCCGGTCGAGTTCGAAGGCGGCTGGGGCCCCGGGGGCCCCCTCAGAGGCCCCGGGACTTCCTGAGCTTGATGATGCAGCTTTAGACCGTCTGCAGCAGCAGATTCTGGAGGATGATGAATTTGCAGATGACATGCGAGCGTTGCTGCTCGCCCGCTTTCGCGCCAAGCACCGCAAAGGGCGGGGGCCCCCAGGGTCTCAGGGGTTTGAAGAGGGCTGGGACGCCTCTAGTGAAGACAACTGCGAGAGCAGTGGAGAGGATGAAGGGAGGGAACCGGACCCAGAAGACGTCAGAAGACTGCAGGAGTTAGGCTATACCCTACAGCCCAACGAACGCCTCCTCACTAGGGGTAAGGGTCGCCTTGCGCGAGCAGACAAGGGAAACGCGGGTAGGGTCCTGAATGGCCCGCAGCCTTAAAAGGTGCAACGGAAATCCGGGCCTTTGTTGTCTGTCCATCTTGTTTTAGCAAGGCACCACCTGACCTTGTGGATTGTTTAGGGCTCTGGGGGCCCCATTTTTTCACCTCTCTCTCAGGTCATTGCTGTACATGCACCGAACCTCAATAGACATATTCGTCACTCTGCTCTTGTGTGCTCTACTTCAGCCCGCAAGTCTTCGAAACATGCGACAGCAGAAGCAACGAATATGGAGACAGAGGAGGACTTACCCCTTTGCGACCAGCAGGGTGAGTGGCCCGTTGGGATTACCGGGGATCGTCTGGGTTCGGGTGCTCGAGTGCTAGGTAGCTGCAGTGGAACTTCTGCCGTGTCCCTCATTGCTGCCGTTGCTGCAGCCTGGGCTGTAGATTCTGCTGAAGTTTCTGCTGCACTGGCTGGAGCAGTCAATGCGTCGGCCCCCCATACCGTCTCTGCTGCAGTTCTTGCTGCAGTTCTTGCTGCAGTTCGTGCTGCAGTTCTTGCTGCAGTTCTTGCTGCAGCATTTACCGCATGTTACGGTGGCAGAGCTTGTGCAGCATCTTGTGTTTGTGGCGCTGGGTACAGGGTTGCTGCAGAAGTTGGAGGAGCTCAAGTATGATCCTCCCCCCGGCATGCGTCGGGTCCCTTTTGTGGAGACGTTGGCAATAGTGGCGGAGCCGGTGACCGCTGACGGTGAGGGGGAGACAGGGGAGACGAAGGAGACAAAGGCGCCAATCGATGCTGCTGACGACCTGAAGAGAGAAGCGTTCTTGTAAGGCGCCCCTTGCATTGGTGTCATTGCTGCAGCAATCCTTAAATGTCTCCCTGTCTTTGAACTCGCCTCCAGGAAGCTGCACTTGCCCCTTGACTGCACCATCTTGCTTTCTGTTTGACTGGCTGTCCTATGCCTCCTTAGATTCTGCTTTTGCGTTGTGTCATGCATGCCTGTGTTTGATTACCCCCCCTTCTTCTTCGCTGACCTCCCCTGTATGTTCCTTTCAGTTCTACTTTATTTCCTTCTCTCTATCTGCTCACGTGCCTCCCCCTTTGCCTTCGTCTGCGTCTTTGCCTCCTTCCGTGCCTTTAACCATTTCTGTTACCCTTCCTCCCATTGCGTCTCCTCCCTCGTCTCCTCCTTTTACCCCTGTCCCCTCTTGTCTCTTCGTTTGTGGGGAGTGAACAGCAGGAGACACTTGGGGGGTCGAGCTTTTGCATTAGAAGCACTGGTTACATTAACAGTGGTTTCGTGCCTGTGCCGGCTTTGATGCATTGAAGCCCGGCACTGGCTAATTATGTATCCTTTCTTCTGCCGTTATTTGCTCCTTTTTGTCTTGGTTTTCGCTTTTTCTTCCTTTCGCTGTCCAAGATTACATATGTGTTCCCGTCTCGGTGTCTGAATGCACCTGTTTTCCCTCTGTTTTCTTTTAACACCGTTGCTGCTATTCGTTGTCCCCGGTTCCCAGTAGGTGCTCTTCTCTGTTTTCTTGTCTCCTTTCGCTCCTATTCTTCTTCGTCTGGTGTTTTTCAAATTGTCTCTCCAGGGTGTACTTCCCTTCCGTTGTGTCGCTTTTAGAGCCTATGCAGATCTCGTGTTTTGTGCTTGTGTCAGTCTGCGTATGTCTGTGTCTGATATCTCGGTTTGGGTGGCTAACGCTCTCCCTCGTGCTAATTATCCCTCGGTTATCCCCGCCTCCATTTGTTAGACCCTTGGAATCAGTGCACCACTCCTGTAAATGGCGTTGCTGCTGCCTCTGGTAGTGTGGCTGTCTCCTTGGGACATTTCAGTATTTCCGGTACTCAGTGACGCTGGAACCGTTGCTGCTAATGCTGCTATTTGTGTTGCTGCTGCAGCGTGCAGCAGGTGCAGAAAACCGTCCCCATCGCGCTGGCGCGGCTGCGGGCAGTAGGCCTTCAGTTCACTCGGCCAGGAGATTTCCTTGCAGAAATGCTGAAGAGCGACCAACAGATGGGTAAAATTCGAGCTCGCATTGAAGAGGAGCAGCAGCGACAGCAGCAATTTGCAGACAAGCTGAATAGGAATTTCAACAAGAAGTTTAACAAACTCAGCGGCCATCGCATCGTGAGGGAACAAGAAGAAGCACGACAGCGGAATCTGCAGCTGAAGGCAATTGAAGGCTGGAAGACAGATAGAGCCAAAGCGCGACGAGAGGGAAAAACAAACAAGGAAGCTGAAGAAGACTTCGATGACTGGCTCCTTGGACAACAGCAAAATAAAGAGGCACTAACACCAAACCATCAACGCAACTTTAAACAAAAGCAAGGTGCGGGAGGCCCACCCAAGCTCGCGCCCCACAAGCCAAGGAGACAAAAAGGAATACACAAAAAAAAGGCAAAAGCAGCGACACCCAAGAAAGCCGGCAATCGGAGGGGGAAAAGAAGGGGCAACCGATGAAAGCAAGCACACAATCCAACCAAAAACGCAAGTCAGCGCAAGGCATCCCCCGCGGCTCTCAAGTAGAGAATCGGCAGACCAGTATAGCGGTGGCATGCGACAGGAGGAGACATATCTGAGGAGACACCTCAGCGACGCACGCATCCCAGAGGCACCTCCACCTGGTGCAGGGATAGACTGCCCTGAGGGTCCTTTTAATTATTAAGTTTGTTGCCATTTTTCTTTTATGGTACTTGAGACCCTGATACTTTTGAGGAGGCCCGCAGTGCCTCGCATGCGAACACAGAACTGCACATGTCAGGGAGGCAAATTCGTAGAAAAAATCGAGGTACAGACAGAGCGAAAGCGAGTGAGGTACATAAAAGGGTATGTAACTAGAAGACAGAGGGAGAGTACATGCGGCTAAGAAATGCAGGCCATGCAGCATCAAATTTGTGACTGCTCTTAGGTCGACTACGCGTATATCTTGTCCCTGTCCCTAGAACCCTGTTGTCCGAGTATCCGTCATCTTTTCAGTATGCAGCATTATTCCCCTTTACAGTTGCTGTACGACAAGCTGCCGCTCCTGTGCTCCTATGCATCGGGGTGCATATTCCTAGCGTTCTTCAGCTTCTGGGCGCTCCATGGGGGCCCCCGTTGGCAGCGGCCTTGTGGTGTTCTCCTCACCTGTGGGTATCCACTGGTGTCACGAGGCCGGGGACTTCAACATCCCTGAGTTTTGCTTCGGTGTTTACTGCCACCCATGCGTGAAGCTGGCTCAAGAACTACTGTATGCAGGACAAGCGCTCAGATCATGCTCCAGGCTACCTACTGAACACTACAGCATTTCTCTACAGTACTCATGCATTCAGAAAAGGAAGATCGACTGTTTTTGCTTCCTCAAGGCTGTTACGTCCCTCATATCTTTGTAATAGGTGCGTTCTCGTGCCCTTGTCACACGGCTATTCAGTGGGGAGAACAACACAGGAGAGTGATGCCCTCTAGGCGGAGTATGTACAGCTGGTGTCCCACATACACACACGCGTTCTCCATAAATTTTGACTATATCAAAAATAGTTTGTTGAGTTGTATATGCAGCTAGCCTTGGTGTGTGGAAGGTCACCACGGACCTCCGGGGGGAATGGGGGACCAGGTGACCCCAGGAATTGTTTGTGGCTCCTTCCAGTATTTGCCGCTAATAAACAGAGTTTAAAGCCAACTAAATGGCTGCAGAAGATTTTCAAAAGGCTCATGGGGCCCCTGCGGGGCCCCACAGCTGCCGAGGACCGGCCTGCACCCGCTGTCTCCCGGCGCCGCTGCTGCATGCGGAGTCGCAGCTTTAGAGACAACCGAGGGGAGCAGCAGCCCTGCTCCATCAAGAGTAAGACTTAATTTATCGAAGGTAACTACTGCCCCTGGGGGCTTGGCTTGGGGCATATACCCTAAAAGGTATCTAATGCTTGTATAACTCGCAGCAGTACCTCTCGAGAGGACATGAGGAGACAGCTGCACACAAGCTGCGCTGCTACAGCGAACCAACCTTCAAGGAGTTGAAACCGGCACACACAAGTTCTTTGCCGGGGAACTATTATTTTGTCCCCTTGTGCTGTGTTGCGAGCTGGGGCGTGGCTCCCCCGCAGGTCCCTTGCGGACAGCATTCGGTGCTGCTTCCCGACGCTGGGGAATCTGCTTCAAAGAGTTGAACTTCTTCTGTCTCCTCGCGTGTTACTTGAGCTTTGCATCGTAACCTTAGGGAGAGGAAATCCCAAGGATATCGCACCCATGAGGCCCCCAGGCAGGCGACAGGAAACAACTACAGAGCGTTTCGTGTCCCCTTATGAACTAATAGAGGAAGAACAAGCATCCCTTAAGGAGGCCAAGAAAGCGAAGGACACGAGGGAGTCTCCTGGTGTCCCACCTGCCCTTCATAGGGAGACACTTAACAAGTCTCCCCATCACTGGTGGCGGCTGCATCTCCAGGGACGGTCTCTAATTACTGCTGAAGAGAAGGAGGACGCAAAAACAGGAACAGCAGCATCACCAACAACAGAGAACGAACAAGGGCTCAACACAGGGTCTCTCGCTGGTAACCCCTATGGCAGCGCTACTGCTGCTGCCCTCGAGCAACGAGGAGACACTCCCACCACCCTGAGGCGCCCTACCAACCCCGTACATAAAGTTGCCGTCAATAAAGTAGAGAGAAGAGAAGACAGAAAATGGGGGCAGCAGGGAGACACAAACAGCGACAGACAAGGGGACAAACAAGGGACTCGACAAAAGCCTCCCCAGGAGCAGCGAGGTCCTTCCGTCAGTCCTAGAGACCTACCGCAGCAGCAGGACCACCAACACCAACCACAGCGGCAAAGGCAGTCAAAGGTTTTGGAAGACGCACAGCAGCAGCACCACCACCAGAAATGTCTCGTTGGTTTCGGCGTTTCCTCTTCATCTAAAACATCGAATACCCGAAGCATATCCCAGCCTCGCAGCCTCAGGGGCCTCATGCCCCGGCTGTCTCCTCCTCGTCCGTTGGCTGTACTCCATTGGCCAGAGCTGTCTGCTTGTCTCCTTTTCTTGTACAGTGTCTGGTTCCCTGCCTGTCTCCCTGTCTGTCCCCCTTCCTGCATCCTCGTTTGTGTCCGTGCTTGCCACCTCCTCTGTTGCCTGCTGTTCCACTGGGAGCCACCCTCCGCCCTGAACTGTCTGAGCAGCTGGTTTTGCGTCCGCTGCTGCAGGCCGCCTATCGTCTGTCCCTTTGTCTCTTGGGTGCCGCCTGGGAGCCCTTCAGAAGGCACTAGAAGGGCCCCCTCCCCTCAAAGTCGAAGCTACCAAGCAGAGCAGCACAGTCAGAACGTCTGCCTCTGGAAGCGTGCACCACTCAGACCCTCCTCAGAGGCCACCCACAATCTCCCCGGGATCCTCCACCTCTGCGGTGAGTACAAGCACTCTTCCAAGAGTTGGATCCCACCCCCTGTCCTTCTGAGTCTAGTAGAGCGCGCCTATAGCAGTTGTGCAGAAGCAAGGCAAGCACGGTCAGAGGGTTTGTTAAGGGCCTCGTGTTTTGTGTTGAGGGTGTGCCCCCGTAACGATGGAGGACAGATTGAGACTTGAGAAGGAGAAAGGAAGCAGAAACGGAAGGCAGGAGTGTGATAGACTGAACAGAAACCAAACCCTGCGGTTTGTGCTGCAGCGGGGATCGTCAAAGATGGTGCTCTCTCTCCTTGCTGTTGGTGGGGCCCTCAGCATCACCCTCAGCTGCGTCGCTGCTGTGGGGGCCCTTTCAACTGCAGTTCGGAGTATGTTTGTCTCCTCTCTGCTGTGTCTGTCCCCTTCTATGTCTCCTGAGCCTCGGCTGCAAACTGCACTTATCTCTAGCTAGCCCTCTCGCTGTACGTAGCCGCCTCTGCCTCCATCGCTGCCTCGGCTTGTCCCTCGTTCTTTGGTTTTTGTTGTGTGCCTCGTTCCTCTCTCTTTGTTGCTCCATCTCTCCGTATCTTTTATCTCAAAGTCCTCCACCTGTCTCCTTCTCTGCAACGCAGTGGTTTAGAGAAGGGGGACTGATGCCCTGGCTGCTGCTTCGGGCGGTAGGGTGCGTGAAGCAGAAGGCTGCAGAAGGCAATGCCCTCATGGATGTATCCTCACCGCTGACGAGTCGTGTGCTGCTGGTCTCTCCCATGCAGTCGCCGAGGCGCCGATTGTCTTCCTGGAAAAAAAGCCGGAGACACCACAGGCCTTCAAGTTCCAGGGCATGGCACCAGAAAGGCCCTTCTTAAGACCTTTAGAGGGGTCTTCCGGGGTGCCGTTCAAAGTCCCCGCCTCCGAGGAGTGGATGGAGGACAAGGCGATGCATGCAGGGCCCCTGGGTGAGCTTGCAGAGGGGCAGCAGCAGAGGCAGCAGCTGCCGCGGTCCTCTTCGACACATGCCTTGCATGGAGGGAGAGGGAGTAGTTTGGAACCAGGGTTGGAGAGGCACGAGGCCTTCATTGTCTCCTCTGCTGGATCAAGAGCTGTAGACATCGGAAGGCTGCGAGATGTCCCTTTGCAGGAGCTGGGGCTTTCTTCCGCTTTGCTGCTGCGGGTAAGGAGTGCGTGCCTCTTGCGTGCCTCCTCGTCCACACCCAATCGTTGTTGTCCTCTGCAGATGCTGTCTTCTTTTGCTTGCAGCCCCGCACTGACGAAGAACACCTCTTCAGGGTGAAGGATGCAGCTCGCAATCTCCAGACAGGAGAAACGCTCCTGTATCTAAGTCGGGGGCAAATCCTTCTGCTGAAACAAGGTAAGCTGATGAGATGCATCAACAGCACAGCAACACAGCAAGCGAGGCTTGTTTTCTGCTTGCCTCAGGTATGTCTTCAGCATAGACAGCCCCCACTTGCTGCGTCTGCGTCTGCGTCTCCTGCTGCTGCTTTCCTTGCTACTTGGTTTACTGCTGTTGCTACTACTGCTGGTTCTGCTGCTCTGTCCTTGCTGCTACATCTGCTGCTGGTGCTAGTGCTGCGTTGCAGAGATCGGACTGCTGCTGTCTCCCGAAGGTTTTGTTTTGGCCGCTTGGGAGCTGCCGCAGCCTTTCACAGAGGGCCATTCAAGGGCCCTATCTCTGCAGCAGCTTCAACACAGGTATGAGACCGAAGCAACAGCTGCTGCTTCTGCCTCGTCTTTCGTTAGCAGCGGGTCTTCTGGGGATAGTCTGAAGGAGACAGCAGAGGTGCTGGGACAAGCTGAGGGGATGATGTCTCCTTCCTTCCCCAACACACACAGACCCACTCCACCCCCTCCCTCCAGCCCTCTTGAGTTTGCTTTATTGGATCTGGGAGAACCCCTTCTGAGTGGGTTTCCAGAAGAGAGTCCCACAAAACCAGTACACAAGGGGCAGCCTGCCGTGCTGGGGCCTCCGCAGGCCACCGAGCGCTCTGGACCTTCCCAAGGCACAGGCGCGACCCCTTTTTTTGTTGCAGGTGGGCCTCCAGTGATGAGGCCTGAGGGTTTTCAGAATGCTGAAAGCTAAGGAAAAACCGTAGCAGCTTACGGCTTGCTGTAGCAGGGCCTCTAAAAAGAAAGCACTTTTTTGCTGAGTATCTGGGTATCTGATCACCTACGACGAGTTTTGTTGTAGGAGAAAGACAAGGGAGGAGGAGTGCAAACCTTCAGCGCCACAGGCCCGGTAGTATCGAGGATCCTTGTATCTTTTAGACCAGGAACAAAACTAAGCTGTGCAGCAGCAAGCCAGAAACTCCGAGAGAAGCGCAGCGACACTGAGGCACCAGCATTCTTTTAGCTGTCTCCACATTGCGGAGCAGCGCGTGTCTCCTCTCCGCCGGAGACGCTGCTACTTTCAACACAAATCAAGAGAAGAAGACCTTCTCTCCCAATAAAGACAGTGCACACCGTTCCTTTGCTTGTCCTCGTTTGAGCCATCGGGGGCCTAACAAGAGACTGTAGAGCCCCTAGACAAATCTTCCAAGACACACATAGTTAAGGCTTTTGCTGTTGCAGCTGGAGCGATTATATCGAAGGCCACGCAGAGGTCCCTAGGGGAGGGGCGTTAGACCCAAGGGCCCCCAGAGGCCCCCACAGCTTTCCAGCCTGCAGGAGCGTCCTCGAGTGCCACGAGGAGCAAGCATGCAGCAATCCAGTATCAGTACTCGAGGGCATCCTGAGAGTTAACAGGGGGAATCACCAGCCGGACCGTTGTGGCCCCCTATCCCTGTATAGGGTCCCCCATCTCCACTGGAGTTTTTAAAGCACCACATTTCTAGTAGGTTCTTTAAGGGACCTAATCCACTTGTAGTGGGAACTTAGGGGGAACGTTGACGCGAAAAGGTGGCGCTGGTTCTCGATGTGTCTCAAATAAACCCTTTTATGCTCACTAAACACTCACTGCATACGCAGTTGGTGCTGTATGTACACCTCAGCGTCTCACCTGAAACCTGAAGCCCTAAACTCTAAACTAGAAGACCTATGGCTCACTGCCCCTCCTGCATTAACTTCTGTTCCCCTTATCGTTAGGAGACAGCTACAGCAATACTAGCTAAACCTTAGTTTCTAAACCCTAAACCATTAACGTAGAACCCTGGCGAGCCGGGTGAGTGGCGGCAGGCGAAGGATATAATTGAATTTGCTGTTTGACTTGAGCAAACTAGATCGAATGATTAACGTAGCATTGCCTTTAAATTCGCTACTAGTGGTGTGTAGAGAAGCAGCAGCAGCAGCAGCTGCTGCTGCTGCAGCAAAGTCCAGAGAGAAGATCCGAGGGCCCCGGGGCCCCAAGCGCTGCGTTGTCCGCTGGGCGTGCAGCAACGAAGGAGGAAAGAAAGGGGCTTTCTCCCTTAGTCGTTAAATATCGAGCTGAAGTCCTCAATTAATTCTTTGCTGTCGTCTTCCTCGTGCCCTAGGGGCCTCTGGGGGCCCCTAACAAGCCATGCTGCTCTCGCTGCAGTGGTACCTCTCCCAGACTTAGGGGCTCATCTCAGGTGTACATACACCACAGCCCAATGGCGCCTCTGCCAGATGGGTCTTCTTGGAGTCTCTTCTGGGGCCTCCTGCTGTCGGTTTCTTCTCTCCTCTCTTCCCTCGGCGTGTCCGCCTCAGATGGCGGAGGGCCCTTAGGGGCCCTACCGGTGCAAACTGCTCCGCATCTATCTGCTCCCTCAGGCCTCCCTGCAGAGGTGGGAGTTCCAACCATCGGTCTGCAAAGGGAGGAAATCCCTGAGACACTAAGCGGGATCCAGTCAGGGGGGGCTAAGGTGGCCCCCGGTTCCTCTGGGGTTCCTGGCGTGGGTAGTGCGTCCCCTCCAGTTCCCTCGTTGCAACTAGAGGCCCCTGCTTCAGGTGCAGGAGGGCCCGCTGAGGGGTTGAGGCCCCCTCTCCTGCCTGACAGTTCATCGTCGAGGCTGTCGCCTACCCCCTCTGGGGCCCATCTGAAGGGGCCTTCCGTTGTGGGGGGAACTCAGACGCTTACAGCCATTGGAGTGACTGCAGATGGCACAGCATCATCATCCGCCAAGCTTCCAGGGTGGTTCCCCACCACACAGGGGCATCTCGTCTCTCCTGAGGGGTTCCAAGCCTTGCCTAAGGGGCCTTCTGTTACCCGTGAGGGGCTCCTAGGATCCCTTACGAAAGAGGAAGGCAAGAGCGACATCCACCCTGATGAGACTCAGCATCAGCTGTTGCAGGCGCCGCAGGAGCCGCAGCACCAACATGAACAGCCGCAGGTAAAGGAGGCCGTGTCGCAGCTGCCGGAGACGCAGCAGCAGCCGCTGCAGCAATTGCAGCAGGGACAGCATCAAGAACTACGGCAAGAACAACAGCTGCAGCAGGCGCAGCCACAGCAACAGGTTGCTCAGGAACAGCACCCCCAACAGGAGCAGCAGCAGGAACAGCAGCAGGAGCAGCAGCAACAGCAGCAGCAACAGCAGCAGGAGCCGTATCCCCGCGAACAGGGACCGCAAGAGCAGCAGGAGGAACCACAGCAAGAGCATGGGCCCCAGGAGCGTACTAGTGTAGCTCAGCGTGATTCTGCTGCTACTGCTTCTGCATCATCTGACTCTCAAGGTACTTCTGCTGCTGAAGATGAGGGGGCAGCAGCTAAGGAAGAGAGTCTGCAGGGTACCACACCTACGAGTGCCTCCGACGACCCTAGCGGGGGCCCCCGTGATAAAGCAGAAGGGGCCCGAGGACGTGAAGGAGGGGAAGGGTCGACGGAAGGCTCAACAGCAAAGGATGCTTCCTCAGGGAGCGGTTGGGGGTTCTATTTGCAGGCTGTAGAGGAAGGGGTAGTTCCCTCCTCTTGGGGGGCCCTCCTTAGCGGAGTAGTCTTGCTGCTGACGTTGGGGGCCCTTGCTGCAACAGGGGGTACTGGCGGGGGTGCAGTCTTCCTTGCCGTTCTCTTGGGGGCCCTCAAACTTAAAGTTAGAGACGCTATTCCTCTTAGCAAGGCAAGGATGCTGTTGCTGCTCGTGCTGCACGTGCTGCAACTGTAGCTCCTGCTGCTCCTGCTCCTGCTGCTCACCAAGCTCGTGCTGCTGATGCTGATGCTGCTTCTGTGATACCTGCTGCTCCTCCTTTTCCTAACTTTATGCTGCTGCCCTTGCTGTTCCTTCTTAGGCGGCTTCAGTTTCTTCTGTGGAGTCCTACAATCACTACTACTGCTGTTGTTGCTGCTATTGCTGCTGCTGCTGCTGCAGGTTATGGTTTGCTGCTCCGCGTTTACGGGGACTTACATGCACAGGAGGAGGGAAATTCAGGAGGGCCTCTCAGCAGTAGACGAGGTGCGTATCCCTGTGTCCTCCGCTGCTGCCGCTGCTGCTGCTGCAGCTGCTGCTACGGTGGGGCTGCAGTGCGTGTGCATGCATGATTTGGTGTTCAATGCGCTTCAGATGTGGCTCAACCTGTTGGTGCCGATGGCCCTTAGCGGGACGCTTGTGGGGGTCTTGCTGAACTCGTTGTGTCCTCCGTCGGTACTGCTGGTGCTGCTGCTGGTGCTGCTCGGGGCCCTCTGTTGCCGCTCGTTGCTGTCAGCAGTTCGTATGTATCAACAAGAAGAGCAGACACGCAGCATGGAGGCGTTCGACGTTGTCGCCTTTCCAAACCAAGAGTTGTTGCGGGGTTCCCTAAGGGGGGTCCCCAGGGGACCTCCCTCAACGGAGTTGTGGGGGCCTTCCCCGCGTGCGGCAGACGAGGAGCTGCAGCCGGCGCTGAGGAACCCACTCTCTTGCAACAGCAGCAGCAGCAGCACAGAAAACAGCAAAGGCAGGGGCCTGCTGCTGCACACAGAGGCAATCCACAGAATGGCTCTTACCGATTCTCTGGTAGAGGCTACCGGGACACCAAGGGAGTTGGAGCCTCTTTCTCTTGCAGCAGCAGCAGCAGCAACGGCTGCTGCAGGAGACAGTGCCAGCAGCAGAAGACCCAGCGGCGGCGACACTGAGGAGCAGCAGCAGGAGCAGCACGTGCAGCATCTACCTCAGCACGACTATTTCGTTACTCCCAGCAGCAGGCCCCCACCCACTCAAGAAGAGGGTCCTGAAGGCTTGCCCGTTTCCCCCCTGGTTATATCGCTGGAGGCCCAAGACAGGCTGCTGCAGATGACGCACATCTGTGCGTTTGCATCTCAGGAGATCGCTGGAGAATCTGCTGCTGCTGCTGCGGAGGTCCCCCCTCTCACGGGAGCCCCCCGATTCAGCTTACGACGAGGGTGGTGGCGGCGCGCAAAGAGCTTCTTGACAGCAGAAGGAACCTCGCCCAGCGGCAGTGACTTCCTTGTTGGACTACACACGGGGGGGCCCCACGACAATCCCTTCGCGGATGCTGCAGAGGAATACATCGTACATCCCCCGGCAGGCGCGTTGGGGGGCCCCTCGTCTCCAGCAGTGGATGGAGACAACTCGCGTACACAGCATCAACAACAGGAAATGTGTGTGCAGCGACTTTGGCGGCGCTGCGTCGGTTCTGCAGCAGCAGCAGGAATGTGCCTGCGTAGGGCCTGCACCCACCTCTTTTCTTCGTCTCCAGTTAGGGAGCCGCAGCACCAACTGCTGTCTCCTTTGCTGCTCTTTGTCGTTGGGTGCAGTCTCGCAGCTCACAACTTTATCGCTAGGGGCTGCTGGGGTTCGGCGGTTGCTGTTGCTGCTGCTGCTGCTGCTGCGGGTGCTGCAGTTCAGCTGTCCGTCTCGCTCGCTGTGGTGAAAGAGTTCAAAGCGGCGCACCCGCACTTCTCGTTTGGTGCTGCTGCTGTTGCTGCTGCTTCTGCTGCTGCAGTCCGCATGGTTAACCGGGGCCGCTCTTTTGCGACGAGCTGCAGGACCGTCTGCTGCAGGGCATGGAGAGCAGCAGTACGAGGGACCCTGTGGGGTCTCCGCGCTGCTGCCCACCCGCTTCAGCAGCAGCAGCAGACAGGGCGTGCAGCGCCTGGGCGGCGGTTGCAGGAGAGTGCTTTGCTGCAAGGGAGGGGGACTCGTTTGGGGTCTGTGGAGATGGAGACCCTGTCTGTGTCTGTGGGTGGGGCCCCAGACGCGGGGCCCCGCAGACTCTCTCCATCTCTCGCATCAGTCCCCCTTTCCCCTCATTTTCCTGCTGCAACGGAACAAGAAGGAGACAGTGCAACAGAAGAGGCAGAGCTGCTGCTGCGGGCCCTGCTGGTAGCCCCTATTGTTGGTATGTTAACGGGGGTCTTGGCAGGGCTTCTCGGTATAGGCGGGGGCCTCTTGTTTTCTCCTCTGCTGCTTTTGCTGCAGCTGGATCCTGTTGTTGCTGTGGCTACTTCGTCAGCTTGCGTTGTATATACGTCATCTGCTACAAGCCTGCAATTCCTGCTACTGGGGAGACTCTATCTGCTGCCGTGTCTCATCTTCGGTAGCACTGCAGCAGCAGCTGCTGCAGCTGGCTGCCTGGGGGTCCATGCCGTCCGCAGGCTGTGCGCAGGCAGAAGAAGCTTTGTTGCATTTCTTGTTGCTGCAGCTGTTGCTGTGGCCACTTTAATGACTCTGAGACGTTACTTTAAAGGGGGCCCCGTTTAAATTCTCACAGAAACAGCAGGGGGAGGGGGCCCGAGTCTCTTCTCCAGCATCTGTCCCTTTTTTTTCCCCTCCGAAATCGTCGCTGCAACGCAGCATAGTGGAGACAATGCAGCAAACAGACAAAGCTGCTGTTGTGGGCCCTGCAGGTGGCCCAGTCCGGGGAGAAGGGAGGGGGGTGCCCCCTTGGTAATCGTAGCGGGACTAACTGCTGTTTGGGGGCCCCCAGGGGCACCACGGCAGGTCGCTGCGAACCACCTGCTTGAGTACGCAGTTCATAGAGACTGTGCTGAGAGGCTCTAAACCATTGTTTGGATATGAGGGGCTCTTTACGGTGTGCAACCCTAGCGGTGTGTCGTTTGTATACCCGTTGGGGGTCCCCATATAGGGGTCCCCTCAAGAATATTCGGTGGCTCTCTGCGGAAATGCGAATGGGCGCGTTAGCGGGGCAGTTGTAGTTACATCTGTGCGGGCTTTAGCTAACAAGAGACACAGTAGCAGCACCTAGGATGATTCAGTGCCTCTATAACTAAGCACTCAGGGGGAGACCGAGTAACTGCAACCAGATTATACTGCCACAAGAGACGTCTTGGCCTCGAGGAAAGGGGGCATCAAAGAGAGGAGGGGACCTCGAAGAGAAAACACTTAACAGAGAAGGAAACGGAGGGGTTGGGGCACACCCAACAACGCTTGATCCAACTAGAATTGTCTCTGTTGTTTTCTACAATTGTAACGTTGTGTTCCGTCTTTGTATGAAATGTCTCTCTTGCCCTCGTCAGTTAGAGATATCTCTGCTTTCTTGTTTAAATGCCAGAACTTCTGCTGCTTCTTCCATCAAATAGAATTGTCTCTTCCCGGTTCGTTTCGACGTGTAAAGTTGCACCCTTGTTGCTCATTCGCTTCGCCTCCAAACGTGGCTCAACGCATTGTTACTAGTCCTCTAACTAGACTACGGTTAATCGGGATGCGCGAGACAGAGATAGAGAGAGAACAAAGAGCCAAACGCCCCCTGGTGCCTCCTGGGAATGAATACGTGCCATCACAACTTCGTATGAGAACTTGAAAGGCCCCTAAACGACCCCGGATGCTTTCACACTTCAGACGACCACCAGCCCTGCTGTTACAACATGTTCTGGGGCTGCTACTGTTGCTGTCTGTGTTGCAATCCCGTCTTCAGCTGCTGTTGCTTCAGGTGGTGTTGCAGCTTGCCTATGCTATGCAGCGGATGCAGCCCGTGCTGGTTCCCAAGTTGCGGCTGCTCCTGCATTCGCTAGCGCTGGTGCTATAACTCCTTCTTTGCCTCATCCGGACCTACTTGTGGTGCTCTTGCAAATGTTACTGGAGTAATTCGTTCTTTAACTTCTAGTGTTTCAGTTGCCGCTGCAGTTGCCCGGAAATCGGTGCTTACACGCACGGGTGGTCAATGTGCCCACAAATCAGACTTCCGTCTGATTCGAAGGCTGTTTTTGGCTTTTCCTGCTTTATTTATGTTTCATATGCTTTTAAATGTCACGAGTTAATAGTTCTGCTGGAGGTTTCACTTGGCCCTTTTGACAGCCTCGAGGTCACCTCGGGGTCTCGGGGGTAGGGAGTCGGTAGCTGTGTGTGTCTGTGGAGACAACAAAGAGGGCATTAATAGTTGAAATATGTATAAATTTGTTTTTGCAGTGATAACAAGATATTAGTTCTATCTGAATGGCTCTGCTGCTCCGCAGAGAGCGCAGCCTGCAGACGCCAGGCAGCCGTCTCGCTAGCGGCCGTCGCCTGCTGCTCCTGCCTGCTGCTGTCTCCTCCCCTCTTTGTGTTGGCTGGGTCTCCCTGTGGGGGATGAGTGGTTCTATTGTTTTTGGGCAGCACATTTGTGTTTTGATATATTGTTTTTCCGTAGTTTCCTCAAGCGAATCGCAGGAGGGGACGCTGTTGTTGGGGCCGCTGCTCGCGAGCTGCTTCACAGCCTCGGATCTGCTTTTGTTGTTGGTTCCCTTTTTTGGCCCCTCATTTTGTGCAGACGACAGCCAGCTGAGAATCATGGGGCTTCCGGTGACTCTGTTGGTCCTGGGGGGCCTCGGGGGGGCACTTCTGGGGCCTCCTGCTGCGCTGGCTGCTACATCGCAGTCGGGTACCTCCTCAACTCGTACAATGGAATGTTTTGAGTATGGGTACGACTATTACGGGTATGACATGCAGGAAGTCTCTGGTGTGCCATCTCCCGGCGCATGCATGCAGGAATGTATGAACCACAAGGGTTGTGGCTTCTGGAGCTACAGCACCTACACCCTCTCCTGCTACCTTAAGTCTGTGGGGGCTGTGCTAGAGCGGAGACCGTCCCCTGGCATTATCTCTGGTCCCCGTCAATGCAGCTACTCTACCACTTGTTTTGAGCCGGGCATCGACCTCTTCGGCTATGATATCGAAAGCATCGAAGGCCGCTATATCATGAACCCAGTAGACTGTCAGCGTCTCTGTGAAGCTAACCCGCAGTGTGCTTTCTTTAGCTGGAGGTTTTCTAATCATTCTTGCTATTTGAAGAGCTCTCCTGCAATCCTTAATCGCCGCGAGGACCCTGATGTAACATCGGGTCCCCGATCCTGCGTAGGCAGCGCAGTGACTCTTCCTTCTCCTGAGGACTACCCCACCCCCTTCGACCCCGAAACAGCCCCTCCTCCGTGTGTCCTAGCTGGAGTGGACTTGAGAGGACACAACGTAAAGACAGCGAAGGCGCGCTCCCCTGCTGCTTGCCAGATGCTCTGCCTCAAACACAGAGACTGCGAGTACTGGACTTGGAGCACTCATTCCCACATCTGCTCCCTTAAGAATGCAGATGCCCTAAGCGGCCGCTCAGAAGGGCAACACACCCTCGACAAGGTCTCTGGTGCTAAGAGATGTATTCCTGTCGTTCCAGGTAAACAAAAGATAGAGTGCTCCTCATCCACACACACACCCTCCTCTAAGCTGTCTATCCCCGTCTTCCGTTGGAGACGGACAAGGACAAGGCATTCTAATGCTACTGTCTCGCAGATATTCACTATTGGCTTCGGATGTCTTTGTGTCTCCGTTTGTGTCTCGCTGACACTTTCTGCCGCGATTTATTGCTGCCTACTGTTCTTTGTTCTCTTCTGCTTCTCCTTCCCTCTTCACTTATTTTGTCTACTACTGTCTCCTCCAGCCCAACGTCTGGTTCTACATTCACGATGCCCTGCTGCATGCGCTCCTGGCTGCTGCTGGTGGTGGTACTAACACTACTAGGGCTGATTGTGGCATTATGGTTTGTCTTCACCAGGTTGTCAGTTCGTTGACGTCGGGGTTGTTGGTGCTGTTCTAAGCAAGCGCTCGGTTGCTTCTTTTGATCTTTGTCAAATTCACTGCGCTGCCTTTTCTGGTTGCACGCATTTCTCTTTTGATTTAAAGTCGGGAGATTGCAATCTCTGGTCTTCCTTCAATACCTACTCCAAGGGCATCACCACAGACGGGCTGGTCTCAGGAAGGGCATTCTGCGATGCAGAAGGTACATGGATGCCCCCAACGAAACAGCAGCATCGACAATAGAACTAGCAGCAGCGCCGAACGCAACAGCCACGGGGGGAGGAGATTTATTGTGGCGTATATGGATTCTGGCTTGTTGTGCACTTCTATTTGTTTTCTGTTGTCTGTGACTCCGTTTGTCGTTTCCCATTCCTGTTTGAAGTGTACCTCCTGCTGCTGTTGCTGCGCAGAGATTTGCTTCGAGCAGGCGGATTATGTGGGGCACAACGTGGAAGAGAACGAGACTGGGGAGGTCGACTCTCCTGCTGCTTGCCAGGCGATGTGCCAGCATAACGCTGACTGCCACTACTGGACGTGGCTGAACACTAACAAGGGCTGTTATCTAAAGGATGCAGATGCACTTGAGGGACGCACAAACGACCCTACTGCCCTCGGCAGATACTCAGGACCTAAGTACTGCAACATGAGCTATGGTCAGCAGCACATACACACACAATAAAAAACCGCTCCAGTACACCCACTGAATGCAGCCGCAGCCACTGCAACCATCAGCCAATGCCCAACATGAGCAGCAGCAGAAGCTGCTGCTGCGGCAGCGTAAGATGGTGTACCAGCAATTAGTGGTGTAACATCTGTTGTGTTGTTTTGTGCGTATTCATTACCTTAGGCTGTTTATCCATAAATGCGGTGTACTCGGGGATGTCCCTACAGACAACGGAGACAGAGGATTATCTCCTTTGCAGCTCTAAGTGTGCTGAGCATCCCTTTTGTACCGCATGGACATACCATGGAGATATGCGGCTATGTTCTCTCTTCTCTGGAGAACCTACGCTCCTCTCTAAGCCTGTTAGAGGAGCAGTCTCCGCCCTTAAGAACTGCTTCCAACAGGAAGAAGAAGAACAAAGCTGCTTCGATGAAGGCATTCAATATCCCCTCGACAATGTTGTCAAGGTACAGGAATTAAATATAGACCCACAGAATACACGAGAAATAAATATATACGTCATAGACAGAAATAACATTCTGCAGCAGCAGAAACGCCTTTCCATCGATATCCTTGCATACCTTCTGTTATTGTACAAACCCATGAATGGGAGGGCTGTCTCCATTGCTGTCTGTCTTTGTGTCTGCAGATAGCTTCTGCTGGCTCTGCCCATGAATGCTATTTGCTTTGCGGGCTTGAGTCCACTTGTTCGAAGTGGACATTCAAGAGCGGAGACACTTGCGTGATGATGAAGAACGCCGACTCGGACAGCAGCAGCACCAGCAGCAGCAGCACCAGCAGCAGCAGCACCAGCAGCACCAGCAGCAGCAGCACCAGCAGCACCAGCGGCAGCAGCGGCAGCGGCGACGTGGTGTACGACCCCGCAAGTGTTTCCGGTCCCAAGTTGTGTAGCGAAATGCCTCTGCTGTCGGGGCCTGCATCCTTCAAGGGGACACCTCTGCGCGTGTCGTCTGTCTTCTCTCCTAAGGGTTGTGCCGAGCAGTGTCTGCAGAATCCACAATGCCGTTACTGGAGCTTCCTCTTGGGGAAGGAGACGAACTGCCAACTCTATAGCAAGATTGAATCCCTTGAAACCCAACCTAATTGTATATCTGGTTTTGTCCCTCGCGTTCTGCTTGCATCTAACTGTAGTTACCCTGAGGAGACAATTGTGGCAACAGTCTTCGTGACCTCTGTGGAGACATGCTCATCCGAGTGTGTTGCTAACCCCAGATGCCGTGCCTGGTCAGCAGTGGTGGAGCCTTCTGCTGCTCTCGCGCAGCTGAACAGCAGCAGCAGCAGCTTGACACCAGCGGGAACATCAGCTGCTAGTACTGATGAGGTCACTTGCCACTTGCACAGCGATGACAACACCCCTTCTTATTCCTTCTCTCCCCGCACTTTCTGCGGCACTTCTCTTAACCCTAAGACTCTACGAAAAGGAAAGACTTATACTGTTATCGCAGGGGACGAGATCTTTAGCAACCCTCTCGATCTTGTTGACTGTCCTACCCATTGTGCAAGCAACCCTGATTGCTTAGGTTGGTCTTATGATGTACAGAGAGGCTGTCTTGGGTTTGATTCAATAGATGCAGAAGAAGAGAATACAGGAGCTATCTCTGCCCCTGTAGATAGACCTGCCCCTGCTCTTCGTTTTAATATTGCATTCGTTGGAGGAGACACCATCACGCCGGCGTCTTCACGAGCAGCAGCAGCAACCAAATCTTCTGCTGCACCTTTCCGATCTCTTCGTATTGGTATTGTTCCAACGTCTAGTGCTGGCGCTGTTGCTGCTGCTGGTGCTGCTCCTACTGCTCCTGTTCCTGCTCTTTATCCTTTCACACCCAATAAGAAGATAGCCCCCTCATACAATGACTGTATCACTGCATGCACCAAGGAACTTGCATGCGTTGCGTGGACATTTAAGGAGGGTGCATGCACACTCTTCTCCAACACAGAAGGAACCGTCTTCGAACCCAATGCCATCTCAGGAACACGCTCCATTCAGCAACCCCTGCCTTGTAAGATACACTACCTATGATGTACCTCCCCCTGATCCTTCTGCTGCTGCTGTTGATGTTGTTGTTGCGCTTCTCCCACTGCTCCGGCGGCCTTATTCTGTTTACGCTGATACTGCAGAGGGCATTCAATGCCGCTGGATAGCGTACCTGCGGTTTAGGGTTTGTGATATATATGTATTCAGGGGACTTTGCAGTGGGCCAGAAGTACGCGGCAGACCCCTTGGTGTCTTTCCCTACTGGCCCTATAACGAACGCCAATGGAGACGTCATAGATGGAGGAGAGCCTTTAACCCCCATTGAGTGTGCAGAACGCGCAGCAGCAGATCAGTGTTGGAGTTTTGACTTGGTTGCAGGCAGGTGCTTCGTCTACGGTGATTGCGCAGTCTCCGAAGAAGCACAAACATTCGTCTCTGGCATTTCTTATTTCACCGCAGAGGACATCGCCACTGCAGAAGCACGCATGAGAGGAGGCAAGGTGAAGACACCGGCAGCAGCAGAAGGGGAAGAGATCACCCACGCTGCAGAAACACTGGCAGCACACACTGACCAAAAGCCTGTAGAAGTCGGGGGGGAGCAGGCGCAGCAGCACACGCAGCAGCAGGAACAGCAGCAGACGGCTCCTCAGCAGCAACAGGAGGAGAAAGACGACTAGAAGTCAGAAACCTCCCGTTGCAACTGCACACATAAACGCAACTGCTACAGGCAGCAAATGCACTGCCTATGGTGCTGTTGTCGGTACACCTGCAGCGGCAGCAGCTCCCCAAGAGACAGATGTCTCCTTCCCTATAGTTTTCTTTTGGTGACGTCTGTCGGCTCAGCCGCAGGTGCCCACAGACAACTGAAAATCGCTTAATAGTTTTTGCATGATACACAACAAACCCTAAACCGTAAACCCTAGGCACTCTGAGTGTTCCTGCTGCAGCAAGAGGACTGTTGCAGTTGCAACAGCAATGTATCGAGTTGTTGCTAATAGAGTAGGTGCTGCTACATGTGCTGCAACAAACGCATCTTCCTGGTGATGGCATGTGCTGCCGCTGGTCTCATCGTAGGCATGCAAGCAGAGGCAGCAGCAACAGCAAGGCGAACAGAAGCAATAGTAGCCGCAGCATAGGCAGCAACACGTCGAATCGGCTATGCTGCTAAGACAAAGGGAACCCTTAAGGTGGTATGTAGGGGAGGGAAACCCTGGAGTTATTAGGTTAGTATCATTGATTAACAGGAGCAAACGCAGCAGCAGCATTACGAGCTGCTGCTGTTGTTGCTGCTCTGAGCATGCCTATTCAAGTGCACCACAGCTGCTGAGGCAGCCGCAGCATCGGGCAGCAGCAAAAGAAGCTATTTGGCTTTCTTTATAGCCTTCGAATTTACTCGTCGGTCTGAAGGCCGCAGCAAACTCCAGCTGCTGCCATCGCTCAAACTGTCTGTGCTACCCCTTCTGCTGCTGCTGTTGCTGCTGCGGCCGCTGCTGCTGTTGCTGCTGGTGGGATCAGCGTTGGTCATGAGAGCCCTCTTGCTGCTTGGGATTTTGGTGCTGCGGCTGCTGCTCCTGCTGCTGCCGCTACCATGACCAAACCAAAAGCGAGCTACGAGCTTCTCCACTGCTGTATATAGCCACTCCCCAGCAGCAACAGCAGCCGCTGGCGCAGCAGCGGCAGCTTGTGCTGCACCAGAAGCAGCAGTTCTTAGTGCAGTAGCAGCAGCCCTCGGTGTAGCAGCAGTAACCCCTGGAGCAGCAGCGATCGCCTTGCGTGTTTGGTTGCGTGCGGTTCGTACGGCGGCCTCCCACGTGCTCCTCTTTGTGAGACTGTAGGCAGCAGCTGTAACAGCAGATGCAGCGCCATCTGCAGCAGCTGCTGCTGATGCCGCTGCTGCAGCAGCTGCTGGACACACTTTCTCCTTGTAGAAGGCAGATAGCTTCCGCTTGCGTAGATACAACAGAAGCAGCAGCAGAGCAGCAACAGAACCCCCTAATACCCCCCAAAGACAGAGATAGCCAATGCCATCTGTCTCCTCGAGGACAGGTTCACTTGCAAAAGAAAATGCTGCAGGAAAAGGAGCAAACGCACCAGCAAAAAAAAAAACAAATAAAAAACGTATTGCTGCAGCAGAAGGGACAAGGAGAGACAGAGAACATACACTGCAGCGCTCGACAGCTATCCACAACGCGGCAAAGAGGTGAACAACAGCTAAAATACAACAGCTGCAGCAGCAGCAGCAATAGCAGCAGCAAGGCGGGTATGACGCACTTTGCTGCAGCGCGGAGACTTCGATAGGCTGGTAGTTATCAACAGCAAAAGGGACAGCAGCCTTCGTGCTGCTGCTGCGTCTGCAGAGCATTGGCTGTCCCCTGCCGCAGAAGCTCGCCATAGAGGCAGCCTCGAAAGTACCCCAACCTCCTACAAGCAGCAGCAGCAGCAACAATAGCAGCAGCATGAATTCAGTAGAGAAAGAGGACCAGGCAAGACAGCAGCAGCAGCAGCAAGGACAATCCGACACCTCCAAACGGCAAATTAGAAGAGAAACAAAAATACAGACAGAGGAAGACAGACACATAAACAATAAAAAAGGCACAAAGAAAGAGAGATATATTATAAAATATATATTAAATATATTTAATTTATTATTAGTTTATTAAATTTAAATAATAATAATTATTTTTTTTAATTAACATTTTTTCTTTACCTGAACAATCAACATAGCCAAGAGACCCAAGACCCACACGAGTTGTTCCTGAGCGGCTGCTGTATCTTATCATCTGCAAAACAGCAGCAGCAGCAGTAGCAGCAGCAGCAGCAGCAACAGCAATGACAGTAGCAGCGGAAGTGAAAGCAATGGCAGCAGCAGCAGCAAGAAAAGGGGATGAGGAGCGGTGGCAGCAGCAGCAGCTGCTACAGCAACAGACAGCCCCAGAAAGCAGCAACTTCTCGTGTAGACGATGGCAGCAACACCAACAGCAACAGCAGCAGAAACAGCAGCAGCAGCAACAGCAACAACAGCAGCAGACAGCTACTGACCTGAGGGGGTTTGTTTGCTAGCTTGAGGGCATTGAAGCAATACTGCATCATTTGGTGTCTCCATTGAGAGAAGCTGTATGCTGCTTCTGCTGCACTGCATGCAACAAGAGGTGTCTCCGTTGTCTCCGTACCCAAAGCAGCAGCAGCAGCAGCAGCAGCGGAAGTGGCAATGCCAGCAGCAGGAGATGTATCCTCCTCACCCTCTTCCCCATCTAAAGTGCAGAGACATGTACCCTTTGTGTACACACTCTGAGGCCTGAGGAAGCAACAGCAGCAACAGCAGCAGCAACAGCAGCAGTAGCAGCAACAGAAGCAATACGAATGTACCTGAGTGCTATGTGCTGCTGCTGCAGCACGATCTGCAGCAGCAGTAGGCGTCCGCTCAATTAGCAGCAGGATGAACAGCAACAGCAACAACAGCACCACGACCATCGCCAGCAGCAGTCAAAGCAGCAGCAGCAGCAGCAGCAGCAACAGTAACGTACGCGCGAGAATCTGCGTATGCCCAGAAACAAGGCTCAGGATGCACAAGAGAGGGACAGGGGACATCTGCCTCGCAGTGTCTCCTTTCTTCTAGATGATAAGGGAGACAACTAGTAGGAGGAGAAAAAGGGGACACTTTTTCTTCCTCCTCTTCTTCCTCTTCTTCTTCCGTATCTTGTGTCCCCTTTTCTCCTTCTTGTGTCTCCTTTTCTTCCTCCTTTTTCTCTTCTTCCTCCTCTATTGTTAATAAAGGACGACGGAATCTATAAGACTCCCCAGACCCACACGGAGCAGAACAACTTGACCACTCCGACCTGCACACAAACCCTAAACCCTAAAACCCTAAACCCTAAACCCTAAAACCTAAACCCTAAACACTAGATATTAAAGGTTACACTTTAAACACTAAACCCTAAACCCTAAATACAATCGGATGACACGGAGGTAAGCGCTTGTCGTGTTTCATAGAAGAGAGCACTTATCAGGGTTTAGGGTTTAGGGTTTAGGGTTTCTCACCATTCACTGAGTCCGCACCGGGGTTTTTCCTCCCTACATAAGACAAGAGCAGCAGCAGCACAAGCTGTGTCTCCTTCTGCAGCAGCAGGAGGAGACACTTGATTTCCTTTACAATCATAGGAGTATAGTCCCTTAGTATATGCCCGTATAACGAGCTGGTCCTGCTGCTGCTCCTGCTCCTGGTGCCCGTCCTGCTCCTCTTGCTGCTGTTGCTGTTGCTGTTGTTGTTGCTGCTGCACCTGTTCTTGTTGTTGTTGTTGTTGCTGCTGCTCCTCTTCTCTGCATACTCGCTGTAGTGTCTGTCTCCATCCATAGGAGACAGTTAATGCCTCGTCTCTTGAGCAAGGCAACCAACCAGAGGGACAGGTGCAGCTAACCTCCTCAGCATCATACCTTCCCTCTACCTTCTTTGCTGCTGCCGCAGCAGCAGCACCAGCAGCATCTGCTGCTCCTGATGCTGCTTCTGCTGTGTCTCCAGTCCGAGCGCTTGACTCCCCACCTTCTGCTGCTGCTGCTGCTGCTTTTGCAGTACCAGCAGCACCATCACCACTATCGTTGTCATTCGAAGCAGCAGCAGCAGCAGTAGCAGCAGCAGCAACAGCAGCATCAGCAGCAGCAGCTCGTCTGACAGCTTGTCTAAAGTCTATAGCTATACAAGAATCAGCTAATACATAACCAGTAGCAGCAGTGTCTCCTCCACCCTGCAGCAAAAGGGACTGTCTCCTTAGGTGTCCCTTAGCAAAGGAAGCATTTAATGCTGCTTGTGCTAGTACTACCTCTACATCTCTCCTCCTATGCAGAGGGGGGAGACCTGCAACTTTGCTGCTGCTGCTGCCCCATGGCCTGTTCCTTCTGCTGCGGCCGCTCCTGCTAGCAGCAGCAGCAGCAGCAGCGCGAGCCTCCCGTACTCCAGGGAAGTGGTGGTGCGACTGTTCAGATGTGTCTGCTGCTGCTGTTTCTCCTTCTGCTGCTTCCCCCTCAGCAGCAGCAGCAGCAGAAGCCAGACGTGCATGCGCTGCTCTCAGAGCTTCGCTTGCTGCATTATCCGACAAATATCGACGCAAGAATACCAGACCCCCTTGCTGCTGCTGCTGCTGCTGCTGCTGTTGCTGCTGCTGTTGCTGCTGCTGATCTGCTGCAGTGTTCGATGCGTCAGTTGTCGACCCCTCTACAGCGGCATCACCAACATCCTGCTGCAGTTGCTGCTGCTGCTGCTGTTGCTGCAGCAAAGACAGCCGATCCATGGCGGTGCGCAACTTCTTAATGGCAGCAAAGGGACCAGAATCATCACCGTGCTGCAGCAGGTGCTGCGGCTGCTGCTGCAGCTGCTGCTGCTCCAGGCGCCTTAGCCTCTGGTATAGCTCCTCATACATAAGAGAGTATACAGCATGTTGTGTTGTTGCGCTGTTGCTGCCTACAGAGGCCACGAGCTGGGCCCCCGTGCTGCTGTTGCTGTTGCTGCTGCTGCTCTCTTGCTGCACCAATGCTTGCACAGCAGCAGGGGCAATGTCCACGTCAAGCAACGGAGCTGCAGCAGCAGGAGCTGTTGTTGCTGCTCCTGCTGCTGGGCCGCGGCGGCCTGCAGCAGGCGAGATTGACCCTCCCGCAGGGACAGCGGCAGTCTCCTTAAGCGGCACCAGCAGCAGCAGCAGCAGCAGCGGTAGCAGCAGCCGCTGCTGCTGCATGTCTAGAAGCGACATTGCTGCTGCTGCTCCTCCTGCTGCTGGGGACTAAACTGCTGCCTCGATGGAGGAGACACTACGTCGGTGGCTCGGCATGGCCGGGCTGCAGCAGCAGCAGCTGCTGCAGCTGCTGCAGCAGCAACAACTGCTGCTCTTTCAGCGGTTTTGCAGCAGTTTATTAATGCTGCTGCTGCTGAGCAGCAGCATTAATAAACTGCTGCAGGTTTGTGTGTTAGCTGCCTACTACTGAACCGCTCCCGCTGCTGCTGCTGCTGCTGCTGCTGCTGTTCTACAGCGAGGCGCCCTTAACCGCTGCGGTAACGACGAGATCATGAGGGTTTAGGGTTTAGGGTTTAGGGTTTAGTGTTTATATTTGAGTTGCATGCAGCAAAAGGCGAGGAGTTGCTGCTGCTGCGGTTTCTGTTGCTGCTGCTCCCTTGAGGCCTCAGCAAGCCCAGAGGGCCCCTATGCTGGTCCACCGGCAGCAGCAACAGCAGCAGCAACAGCAGCAGCAGCAGCAACAACAAAATGTGTATATATTACAAGGCATAAAATATATATAAACAAAGAAAAAGGTATTTAATAAAGATTTATTTAACGGAGAATTTTATGAAGTTGCTGCTAACAAGTCATCTGCTGCTGCTGTTGTTGCTGTTGCTGCTGTTGCTGCTCCTGTTGCTGCAGCTGCTGTTTGTTGTCGTTGCTGCTGCTGCTCATGCTGCTGCTGCTTCCTTGTCTTTCTTAATTTATTCTTATTTCTTAATTCTTTTTAATTGTTTAATTGAGCTCCCTATACACCTCAATTAATGCACTATAGCGGGGTGTATACGCAGCTAAAGAAATATATATTTAATTAATATTATTATATAATATATTTTATTATATTTTATTATTATATTATATAATATATTTTATTTTATTATTATATTATATTATATTATATTATATTATATTATATTATATTATATTATATTATATTATAATAAATAAAAGAAAGAATACAGAAACATAAGAGGCGCCTCCCTTTCTTACGGTGTACACATAAGGAAGGAAGGGTTAGTAAGGAAATAAATAAATAATAATAAATAATAAATAATAATAATAAATAATAATAATAATAATAAGTAAATAAATAAATAATAAATAATAATAATAATAATAAAATAACAATAATAATAAATACTATTATAAAAGAAAATAATTAAGTAATAAATAATATTGTATAGAAACGTACCATCATTTTTATTGTGTACTTGTAGACCACCTGCATGCAGCAGCAGCAGCAGCAGCAGCAGCAACACAAGCAGCAGCAGAAGTAGTATAGAAGAAGAACGACAGATGCAGCAGCAGCAGCAGCAACTCGTGCTGCAGTCTCTGCAGCACCTACAACCAGCCGCTGCTTCTCACTACTCGGCTGAAGCAGCAGCAGCAGCAGCAGCAGCAACAGCAGCAACAATCTGCAGCAGCAGCAGCATGCATGCGCTTGCCGCCACAGCTGCTGCTGCTGCCCTCTCTGCTGGTACCAGCAGTAGCAGCAGCAGCACAGGCCTCAGCAGCAGCAGCAGGATCAGCACCACACAGAGGGTGCATGCAGAAGAAATCGTGTGTTGGCACTGTGTGCTATTAGGGGTTAGGGTTTAGGGTTTAGGGTTTACGAAAGGAGACACCTTTCGTGGATATCTTGATCCATTGTCCTTGTTGGGACAAGCAAACCCTAAACCCTAAACCCTAAACCCTAATCACCAATCCATCGTCCTAGTGGATGTGGAGGGTTTAGGGAAGGGTTTAGCTGCAGTCTTAATAAGGCTCCCCTACAATGAAGTCTAAACCCTAAACCCTAAACCCTAAACCCTAAACCCTAAACCACCAGGGTATGGTGTAAACCCTATATTCTTATCCAAGGATACTAGTGTTTGCTGCTTCTTTTTATTAACAATTATTTAATTAAATATATAATTATTATTTATTTGTTTTTATTCTTTTATTTATATTTTATTATATCTTTATATTAATGATTATACAGCAGCCTATACACCCCATTCGTGCTGCTGCTGCTGCTGCTGCTGCTGCTGCTGCTGTTGCTGCTGTGTACAGCAAAGAAAGCATTGCCTGTAAGGAGAGGGGTTATAAAGGGCGAGGAAGACGTAGATGAGTGGATAATTAGTGTTTAGGGTTTAGGGTTTAGGGTTTAATCGAGTAAGACTATGGTAATGAATACTTGCTATATTAAGGAGCTGCCTGTACACCTGAATATTGAATAAAAAGAAGACAATCCTTTTTACTAAATAAAAAAGAAAAAAGAAGGAAGAGAAAAGAAGAACATTTTGCTGCTGCTGCAGCCGTTACATTCTGCTGCCCAGCCAGCTGTTGCTGCTGCTGCTGCAACTAGAGCAGTAGCAGCAGCAGCTGTTGCTGCTACTGCTGCTAATGCTGCTGCTGTTGCTGCTGGCTTTGCAGCAGCTGTCTGAGGGTGTGTAAGTATAGGAGAAGGTCTAAAGACTTATTTGCTAATAAAAGGAATTAAATATAAACAAAGAAGGACGAAGAAAACATCAAAACGCCGCAGCCGAAGCAGCAAGCAGCAGCGGCCCCCAACGGGGTGTATGTACACCTCAGTAGCAAGCGCATGCAGCGGCTCGTTTCTCCTCATTTATTTACATCTCTTCTTTACTTCTTATTTATAGTAAATACATTAAAACACAACAGCAGCAACAACAGAACTAGCTGCAGAAGAAGCAGCAGTGCCAGCTTGTAGCCGCAGCAGCAGCCACAACAACAGCAGCAGCAGAGCAACAGCAGCAGCAGCAGTTCATAGAGTATTGAGGTGTATGTACACCTGAAATGCATAACAATGACTCTCAAGGAAGTTTATGGATACATAAATTAAGAAGCAAAGGAGGGATATAATTTCTTAAGGCCTGCTTGTGCTGCTGCTGCTGCTACTCCTGCTGCTACTGCTGCTGCTGTTGCTACTGCTGCTGCAACAGCAGCAGCAGCAGACCGATGCTACAGCAGCTTACCAGTGTACAGCAGCAGCATAAGGCATACAATAAGAGGAAGCAACAGCAAATACAGCAGCAAGAACAACAGAGGAGCAGCAGCATAGCAGCAACTGCTGCTGCAGCGGGAGCAGCAGCAGTTGTGTAGTGCTGTTTTGCTGCCAGCAGCAGCAGAACAGCAGCAACAGCAGCAGCAACAACAGCAGGTACAACAGCTACAACAGTAGCAGCAGCAACAAAATGTCAATCCGTGGGATCCGTTTAACCCCCCCTGGGGGTTTAGGTGTATCGCCTAGGGTTTGCGGAGGAGGAAGGAATGAGGGTTTAGGGTTTGGGGGTATAGGGTTTGCTGCATTAAATCAGAACGCGAGGTGTATAGTAGCAGCAACAAGACGAGGGTTTGCTGTTTATAGTACAGAACCTTTTAAGAAAACCTTCCAGAGGGGTATAATAAACCCTAAACCCTAAACCCTAAACCCTTATTCAGGTTTCTTCTCCCATAGAGGAAAACAACAGGCACTCATAGACCCTCCATACATCCACAGGTCTAAGGGTTTAGGGTTTAGGGTTTAGGGTTTGTATGCAGAGTTGGTAACGAATCGAGGGGAAGAAGAAGAAGAAGGAGAAGGATGTATTGCCTTAGTAGAGATGTTATATACGTGCAACATATTAGCTATTGTTGGCAGTAAGCTAGGGTTTAGGGTTTAGGGTTTAGGGTTTAGGGTTTATACACACCACCCTTTTTTTTTTTTGCCATAAAAAAAAGAATAAAATAAAATAAAATAAGGAGTAAACATAATAATAAATATAATAAATATAATAAATATAATAAATTAAATATATTTATATATTTATATA